AATTTTAACCAGGATCAAAAAATAAACCGACGAAACGATAGGTGGCTATGTGCGGATCCTTCAGACGTTCCTCATGTTATGCACACAAAGTTTCCGGCAACTGTCATAGTTTTGGGAGTGGTGAGCAATGAAGGACATGTCATGTCACCCCACTTTTTTCCTCAAGGACTTCGGGTGAATGCTGCTACCTACAGCCTTGGGTTTGGAAGCAGTTGTGAAACATTGGATACATAGCGTGCGTGATGAGAGGCCATACGTATTCCAACAGGACTCTGCTCCTTCACACAAAGCCATTACGACGCAAGATTGGATGTTCGAGAATCTGCATGATCACATAACCCCAAACATGTGGCCACCTAGCTTCCCGGATCTTAATCTTTTGGATTACATATGGAGCGTTGTTGAACGAGAGATCAATAAACATCCCCATAACACGCTTGATTCCCTAAGAGCAGCTATTACCAGAATAATGACGCATATGGATGAGAATCATTTGATTCGGGCATGCAAACGTTTCCGGCAGAGAATTGAAACTGTTATTGCCGCTGAAGGTGATTTTATCGATTAACTGTATAGCCTACGAGTCACTTAGTTTGCTGTAAAAATTTCATTAAAATACAATAAGTTTTCTAAGAAATATACAAATTTTAGTTTTAAAGTCAATATGCCTCAAATACCTGATGCACTCTGTATTATAGTCGGTTAAGTAACCAAACATATTCCAACAGCAGATAAAATAACAAGTCGCAGAAAAGTTCTAGATGATTGTGAGATATCTTTCTTCGGTGAAAAAAATGTCTTACCTAAAAATAGTAAATTAAATGGCGATTCATTAAATCTCTTCTCACGCGTTGTGACAGAAACTTCTTATTTCGAAATACGAAACGTACATTACATAGAATATCCACAACTAAGAACAATTATAACAAAAGTATAGGAGGCAATTGTAATAACCACTGGTGTTGTTTTTTTTTTGACGGAATCAAAACGTACGTATATAACAGCCTACTGTACGAGACCTGTTCAAAAGTATTCGACTTTTGCTTGTATCATGAGAAAAACCTATTCTGAGGTGATACGAACAACGTTATTTTCAAAATAGTTTCCTTTCGAAACAATGACCTTCTGCCAATGGCGCACCCACTTGCAAAAGCAGTCCTGGAAATCTTTTTTTGTGATAGTCAACAGTTCGGCGCATTTTCTTAACATCGTCAAATCTTTTGCCCAACGAATGTTTCAACTTAAAAAATAACCAAAAGTCACACGGAGCTATATCTCGACTGTACGGAGCTTGACGAAGTTGGACAATGTCGTGTTTAGTCAAAAATTTCTAAATTCAGGTGAGCTGAATGAGTAGATGCGTTATCGTTCACTCGGAGTTTTCTACGTTTATACAACTGCGTACCGTTGCCTGAACAGCTGCTGAGTCGTGCCACTTGATGGAGGTACTCGTAAAGGTTCATCCTAAATACTGAATACCTGTTTTCCACAGCCTAAGAACAAAGATATATGCAGAGGTTAGATACTTTTCGGTCTTCGTACATACGATAAAATGGCATTAAAAAAATATATAACAGCTCATTTTCGACAAATAGTATCTACCGATATAAAACTTTGAAAAACTTCAAACGCAATCGGGTGTTGTAGAATTTATGCAGTAATTTTTGCAACGGATATAGTCTTGGGTAGAAATTCTTGCAAAGAAAGTTATTTGAATGACATTGAGTGTATGAGGCGACATCTTGTCACCTCATATACTCACTATCATAAAAAACCATGAACTTTTGTCTTTTTCAAAACAATAAATATTCTTTAGATAATATTTCATCTAAAATATTATTACGCTTTCATAAGAAAGTCTGCAAAATATGATACCGTCAAAAAAGAAAGTACACATTAATTTATGCATATATATCCACATACACATTTACACATTTTATGGATAAAACATGACAACAGAGAAACGAAGAAAAATTTTTGGTTGCGTTTCACGGGAATGAGCGATGGAGGGGCCCATCCTATATTGTCAAAATTAATAACATTGTATAATTTAGTATTATATAATATTTTGTTTTTATATTTATTAAACATTATTAAAATGTTGTTTAAGTTCATGACTTTGACGTTATATGTCAAAATCAAGGCCAGTGGAGATTGTTCCTCTAATTTTTATTTTTGTGCCGCCCAATCAGACCTTGGTTAAAACACCTAGGTTAAAACAGTAACTTTTAAGTTCCACATTTCAATAAGAACTTAATAAAAAATAGTAATCTTTTGAAAAGCTATATCAACTGTTAGATTGTAGAATAAAAATAGCGCGTTTTATAAAAAAAAAATAAACGTGACCTTGATCTGACGCCGCCCAAGGTAAAACTAAATCAGTAAATAGCTCCTTCGAAATCTTACAACTTTGATCTGAAACGTTTCTTCCAAAAACGTTATGTAAGGGCCTTAGCATAAGCATAGTATAAGGTGTAGTAAAAAGAAATCTATTATTTTTGCATTAAATTGAAGGCTTTATTTAGCATAGTTAGAATGATCCGATTTAAGTCAAATATGCACCGTTTTGTTCGATAACTTGTTGCCATTTTGAAGGTAATTTCATTATGCCTCTCTCATAGAAACCCTCGTCCCTATTAGCAAAAAACTGGGACAGTCGATTTTCACAAGCTTCTCTTGAGGCGAATTTTTCACCAGCAAAATCATTCGCCATAGACAGGAACAGGTGGTAATCACTTGGTGCCAGGTCCGGACTATAAGGTGGATGCATAAGAACCTCCCAACCAAGCTCCCGGAGCTTCTGGCGAGTCACTATCGATGTGTGTGACCTGGCGTTGTCTTGATGGAACACAATTCCTCTCCTATTGGCCAAAGCTGGCCGCTTCTGGGCGATTGCTTCTTTCAGACGGTCCAATTGTTGACAGTACAGGTCCGAATTAAGAGTTTGGCCGTAGGGGAGCAGCTCATAGTAGATGATTCCCTGCCAATCCCACCAAACACACAGCAAAACCTTCCTGATCGTCAATCCTGGCTTGGCCACCGTTTGCGCCGGCTCATCGCGATTCGACCACGACCGTTTTCGCTTGACGTTGTCGTAAGTGACCCACTTTTCATCACCAGTAACCATTCGCTTCAGAAATGGGTCGATTTTGTTGCGATTCAGCAGCGATTCGCAGATGGAAATTCGGTCCATGAGGTTTTTTTGCGTTAACTCGTGTGGCACCCATACATCGAGCTTCTTTTTGTATCCAGCCTTATTTAAATGGTTCCAAACGGTTTTTTGTGCAATGTTTAGCTCCTGGGCAATCGAAACAGTGCTTACATGACGGTCGGACTCGACGATTTCCATTATTTTATCGACATTTTCGACAATTGGCCTTCCAGAGCGTGGTGCATCTTTGACATCAAAATTACCGGAACGGAATCGACGAAACCAAAATTGCGCGATATTGACTGTTACAGTATCAGGACCATAAACACTATTCACATTTTCAGCCGCCTGGCTTGCGTTTTCGCCTTTATCGAAGAAAAACTATAAAATATGGCGTATTTTCTCTTTGTTGGTGTCCATCTTTGACACGCGCTCAAACAATACTGACTCAAGCAATTACAAAACTGTCTGAGAAGTTTTTTTAGTACGAAATCTTATCTTTCTAACGCCATTTGGCGTAACCCGATCGCACTTATACAACGCGAGATACAGATTACTAAAGCCATCTATTGGAAAAATAATAGATTTCTTTTTACTACACCTTATACTATATACTACTTCCTATTACTAGCCATAATAATTTTCTTCAAACGATTATTAATATTCTCAAATATAAAGTTTAATGGATAATCATTCTGTAACAATATTTTAATAATGAGACACAAATTATCAAGGTGAAATTTAGGATTTGAAAGCAAAAATATCCTACATATTAACTAATCCCGCGATTGTGCATATTTTTTGAGAAACCGGATGTTATGACCAAAAATTCAAATATCTACCTGAAAACGTCGGCTTGTGGTAATTATTAATCTCAATTAAATTCTATCAACTCATTATCCCTAATCACTGTAACCAAAAAATTTAATCTATCACTTCCTACCTGCATAGTGAACTGAAGCCTAGGATACTGAAAATTAAAAATATCAAGAATGGAACTAACTGAAGACATAGATGTCGCCAATAATATGTCAACAAACCCATAAAAAAGCAACGGAAACCGAATCAAAGACAAACTTCCAGCTTTCGCATAATTGGATCCACAATGACGCAAGATAACAGAGAGCTCATAGGAGTCCTGTAAATTCCCGGTCGATTCCCGAAATTCTTTGATTTATAAAGAGTCTTGGTTAGTTCGATCTGTTATACGGATTAGCTATTTCATTTCTCTTACTCATACATACATACGTGTTGCTCGTTGAATTGCTACAAAATTCAAAAACTGATACAAAACCGATAGAATTATCATTCAAAACATAAAGACAGTTTCTGTGAATGTGTTGCTGCACATATATCTACTGATATATCAGAAATTATATTAGGTAATGATTTCCATTGCAGTATTGACACATCGTTTTCTTTACCAAGATTTGCATGCGATTCTTGTAACGTGACATTCAATATTTTGTCGTCTATTATCGGTTCATTCCAAAAATTATCTTAGAAATGATATGTCTGATATTCAACAAAATACTGAGTTTTGAGACCGTGATGCTTCATTTGCGTTACTATGAAATTAATAAAACGACATTCGCCAATTCCGTGAATAGACAGTTTTTGCAATTTAGTAAAAACATATCCCAGATTGATGAAAGATGGTTCATTAATCTCTTCATTATTCCCATAATTACGATTCAATATACCCTATACAAATTTATATATTGTACGAGGTGTGATCAAAAAGTAAGGTGACTTTTCATTTTTATAAAAAAATATTCATTTATTCATCCAAAATTATGTTATCCCCTTCAAAATAATCCCCCTCTGATACAATGCACTTGTGCCAGCGCTTTTTCCAGTCGTCAAAACACTTCTGAAATGCACTTTTGGGTATTGCCTTGAGCTCCTCCAGCGATGCAGCCTTAATCTCCTCAATCGTCGCAAATCTTCGTCCTTTCATGGGCCTTTTCAATTTTGGGAAGAGGAAAAAGTCGCAGGGGGCCAAGTCTGGTGAATACGGTGGCTGAGGCATGATGATAGTATTGTTTTTGGCCAAAAAACTACTCACTAGTAACGACGTTTGCGCAGGTGCATTATCATAGTGCAGAATCCATGAATTTTCTTTCCACACTTCCGGACGTTTTTTTCTTATTGATTCACGCAAACGCCGCATAACCTCAAGGTAATACTCCTTGTTTACCGTACGACCTTGTGGTAGGAATTCTTGATGCACAACGCCATGGTAATCAAAGAAAACTGTGAGCAAAACCTTCACATTCGAACGAACTTGGCGTGCCTTTTTCGGTCTTGGCTCTCCTGGGCTCTTCCACTGGGATGATTGGGCTTTGGTTTCGACGTCATAACCATATACCCATGTTTCGTCACCAGTTATAACCCTTTTGAGCAGATCAGGATCATCATTGACGTCGTTCAACATGTCTTGGGCGATGTTCATGCGACGCTGCTTCTGATCAAAATTAAGCAGTTTTGGAACGAATTTCGCTGACACACGTGTCATACCCAAAACATCCGTTAAAATTGATTGGCATGAGCCAAACGATATGTTAAGATCATCAGCTATTTCTCTAATCGTGATTCGACGATTTTTCAACACAATTTCTTTCACTTCCTGAACATTTTCGTCGGTTTTTGACGTGCTGGGGCGTCCAGAGCGAGGTTCATCGTTAACATTTTCTCGGCCCTCTTGGAATAACTTATACCATTTATAAACATTTTTTTTGCTCAAAGTTGACTCACCGTACGCCACTGTCAACATTTCAAGAGTTTTTGAACACTTAATACCATTTTTTACACAAAAATTAATACAAACTCTCTGCTCCATTATTTTCAAAAGCAAAAAATCGCCGAGCACGCAAACACGAGTCTAACCTTTATGCCTCTCACATAAAAACAACATATGCTATATAGTCAAAACTGTGAACATATGATCGTGACGAGTGTACCAACACAACAACAAAAAATTTTTTTAATTAGAGTGTACAGAGCGCGCGAAATTCAAAAAGTCACCTTACTTTTTGATCACACCTCGTAAGTCCGACCGTGTAACCTCCCCTGATACACCTCGGGTAATGCTAATACGGTGGCAAAATTTTTAGAAATTTTCAGAGGAAAAACTACATGATACACTATTCACTTTAAATCACTTAGTGAAAAAAATTGTAGCATAATGATAAAAAATTATTTTAAAGAGAAAATATTAAACTTTACTTACAATTAAAGAAATTATGGCTTTAAAATGTTTTTTCGTACATCGCTTTGCGACCATTCTTCGCGGAGATATGTGACATTTGAATTTGGTTTTTTTTAACGCTGATTTTAAGTGACTCTAATTTTGTTCAATAGCTGCATGCAAATTTCAAGATACAATAACTTTGTCGAAAATGGTCATATTGGGATATTTAAAAAAGCATTTTATCGGTTGAAACGTCTACTTTTCAGATCACTACTTAAAAAACGATCTCATGGAGATTTCATAAAGTTACACAAACATAAATAAAGATATAAAATCTCAAAATTTTTTACGAAAATTGCGAAGTTCCACGGAGTGGACTAAAAATTGTATACAAATGTGATTTACATTATTCGAAAGAGCGAATCTTTACCTTTAATTTGCTTTTTTACGAAGCTCTGTACAATTTTTTTTATCGAGTTATTCAACGTTGAAGCAAAAGGACTATTTTTGCTTTTTTATACAATACAATTTTTATTCCACTCCGTGCAGCTTCACAAATTTCATAAAAAATTGTGAGGTTTGATTTATCTTCATTTATGTTTGTGTAATTTCATAAAATCTCTATGAGACCGTTTTTTTAAGTAGCGGTCCGAAAAGTAGAGGTTTCTACCTGAAAAACATTCCGATATGACAATTTTTGACAAAGTTATTGAATCTTGAAGTTTGCCTATTTTTGCAGAGTGAACAGGTGTTGCGTTAATTTTGTTGCCCAGTGTATTTACAATTTCTTTTTATTAATTTTCATTAAGTTCAGATTATTTCATTGTAATAGTAAGTTTATTCGCGTTGCATGCTCTAATATGCTCCTATAACAGCTCTTACTCACTCCATTTGTTGGAGTGCGACGTGAATAAATCTAGTGAGTTTTGACAGGCGAAAAAAGGATGAAAGAGAAAGAAGTTTAGGTGGTAACCATGGCTAGGTAACTTGCTTATTTCACGCATGCGCACTCCATTTTGTCTGACACTAACATCAAAGGTGCCGACAAGGACTTGCTCTACTGTACATATGTACTGTGATATGGCTATATGTGCTGTGGTCCTGGCGATCTCGTGTACCGCGCCAATCTATAAATGATAAAATGTTCGTGGTTTGTCCAAGGGTGATTTGGACAAGTATTTTAAAAATACTGCGAACGTGACAGTGTATTTCACAATGTATGATTGCTGATAGGTTGAAATTCTTATTCTCTCTTCTCTGTTCCTTTTATTGTGCGGAGCCTTTAGTCGCGCGCGACACGCGATATCCAATGACAGTATACCTTTAGAATGAGAATATCGATAAAGCTGTACACTCTGGATATCGCGAAGACGAACATCGCGCTGGTGTGCCGGAGAGAGATATAAGAGAGAGAGAGAGAGAGAGAGAGAAGAAAAAACTCCAAATTATTTCAAATGTTTGTCAATTGACAAAAATATTCTGCATACGATGCTTTTGATAACGAATATCGCAATTATAATGCGATTTTCTGTGTATCTCGGTCGTAATAAAGTAGAAAAGAATCGCAGTATTTCATGATTCCATAAATTTTTTCTATCTTTGAATAAATGTCCAAGAACTATTATTGAGGGTTAAGTTATGATAAACCTATAAAAAACATGTCATTGAAGGTAATTTAACATTGTAATATTTGTACAATTTTTCTTTCAAAATGCATATGATAACTCAATAATATTAAATAATAAATCTGAAAGATGAAACCTTAATTAGAAAAAAAATAGTGAATATCTCATTTTGAAAAGGTTTTGATTTTGATATGAAGTTTGTCTGCATTTTTTATAAATAAACAAAATTATGCTCAACTTAATACATATATATATATATATATATA